GTCTACAGAGACGTCTCTGGAGACAAATGATGGATTGTCCGTCCATCAAATTCTCTGGAGACAAGTAGCGAGACCACTGATCGATGCTCGGCATTCGGCACTGCTCGCTGCCATCCTCAGTTTTATGAACCACTGGGCCTAAAGCAGAACTGAACCACTCTGTAGAAAAACAAGCCCAACTTTGGCTTGCGCCCCGAGTGGTGACTCCTCCTTGGTTAACTGGCCATCGTGCATCCCAGCGGACTCAATGCTCTCCTGAGCGCGCACAAAGAATTATTGTGATGGCATCAGATGGCATCACTAGTATGACAAATTACCATCATCATTACATCTCATGCCATTCCGCCGACTGTTTGCCGACTGTGCCGTTCCTTCTGAGGGTGAAGCGCTCAGGTTTGCATTCCGTTTGCATCCTGTTTCGACATGGTAAATTTTCTGAGCCCGTGTAGGGCTTTAGCTTCCTCCAAAGGAGGGAAACATCTCCAGAAATGAGTAACTTTTACTCAAATTTTACGTGATGGCCTCCGATACGCTCCGAAGCTGTAAGTCGGCGTTGGAAAAACAATATTTGGCCGGTTCTCTCGAATTACGGCCCAGTGAGGTGTGCAGGAGATTGGTGGTGTATGTTTGAGAGACATGAACCTTTTTTGTTATCAGCCCAAGGCGCGTGAAGCGCTGAATGCCTTATACGCAGATGGCTCGATGTTCGGCAGTATCGGCATTATCGGCGAAGCGTAAATCTTTACCTCTTAGAGGTGATGCCATCGCGCGAAGTCTTTGTGCGCGCTGTCTGCGCGGAAAGAAGATGCGCTTCGGACATGGCCGGTCCAATCACCTCCGAAAACTCTTCTTGCTCTCAATGCTCTCCAACCACCTTCATCCTTGCTCTCAGTGAATGGATCGTTTGGAATTCGTCCCTTGTCGTCTGTCCAGGCCTTGGCAAGAAACGGGTTCACAGGACAATTGCGAATACTCCGAGCAGCAATGCTGCCCGACACTGGGTTGAAACAAGGTCGTTCCGCGGCATATGCATCTCCGATAGCAGTCGCAGATGTGCCTGCAGTGGTACCGGTACCTGGTGCCGGCCAGCCATGCAACGCCTGAAGCTTTGCTTCGACGTTGGACGACTCTCCTACCCATAACCCATAGTCTCGCGCGCCCGCACAGCCGGACCTATCGACGAATGTAAATCCAGTCCCGAACTGAAGCGGAAGAGATCTCTCTCAAACCGGTATGTGCGTTCGTTTCGTCTCGTGGAATTTATGGTGTTCATGGTGATACGGTACCGTGAATAGATGTGTACATATAAGTATATCTCCCGAAGTCAAGTAGCCTAAGGGACGCGCCCGCACGAGCAATTCGTGACTTGTAGCAAACGGTCGCGGTGCTGGCAACGGTGCCCGTGTTCCATCAGCTCTTTCTCAGCTTTCAGTGCGACTCTCCACCGCCGACTGTTTCCGATGCAAAGGGCGCAGTCTCTCCATTTCACTTGTTGGAGTCCACTACACTCGTTGCGCTCTAGGAGGTTCAGCTGGATGTCTGCATGATGCTCGTCCCGCGGTCGACGCAAGCTGACGGGATGTCGAGTGGCTCGTCGACATGACGCGGAGCCATCGCTTCGTCGTTCTGACCTCCCGCCTCTTCATCACTCCCGCCCCAGCCTTTCCGAGCTCGACTGCGTTTTCATGGACTCCCGGCGCTTCGTCTCCCACTACCAGGCTGCTCCTCCGAACAGGCCCGTCTTTACACATCCAGACCGATAAAAACCGCCACATTTTTCGTCCGCTTCAGACCATTCAGAGGATTTGTCGAGCTCCTCTTCATTTTTATCGCTCAGACGGCGCCTCGATCCAGCATCGCACCCTGGCCGCCTTCGTACTTTGCTCAGAGGTGCGGCTCAGAGGTGCGCTCTATGCGCGGGCATCTCTGCGTGCATGCTCTCATATTCATTTCTGGCCGTGTCTGTGCCGCTGCGCTACGATTTGGCCAGGGAACCGCTGCCGCAGGTCTTGGGTTACTAGTGCTACTGCACGGCGTACCACCGTCATCCCTTCCTGTTGCCCACCAGCAACGCTTCGTCCTCCGCATCTTCACTCGCTCGGGCCGAGACATGATGAGGACGAAGACTGGGTCGTTTTGCACCCGGGATGTTGAGGGCGATGGCACCTTGGGGAGCAGAATGTACCCGTGAAGTACAAGGATGAAACTTGCGCGAGCCGGCAAAGTCACCTTCTCCTGCGTTCTCTAGCGACTCTCGCATCCGTCGCCGCCGCAAACGACTCCCTCCCCCGAGCACAAACACGTCCCCTTTTTTCACGTACGACTTAGTGTGGTGGAGTCTCTCGGAGCTTCAAATTGCTGGGAAGTTCGATTTGGGCTGTCCACCGTGATGATCTTTGGGATATTTCTTTCGATTTGGTTCACCACCTCGCTTCTTGCGCACTGCACCCGCCCTGCATGCCCGCCTCCGCTCTCGGATGTCCAGCCAGGCGACGTGAAAATCTCGGCCCCAGCTGCGCTCGAGGCCCACTTTCACGCGCCTTCCCGCCCCCGGGTCCAGATCCGGATCCGTGCACCACCTCAGGACTTACGAGTGCTCAGTCTGTCATTCGGACGTGGGTACGGGGACGGCCCGCCTCACGTATGCGGAGATGACTATGTCGAAGGATGAGCATGTGTGGGATGACAATGCTGCGTATGCGGATGACAATGCAGCTGTGGCGGATGGGGAGACATTTGCAGTGCTAGGGCCAAGGTCCACGAAGGCCGCTGAATGCTGCGGGCCTGCGGACTGGATGCCGTGGACGGGGGCTGCTGGCTGGCTTACGATACCATCTCGAAGGTTGTATGTTTAGAAGTACAGATTCATAGCTCGTAGCACTTTGCGCCTCTGCTTAATTGAATGTCTCGTTATGGCTTTCATTCCGCTGCGGGGCTGACGGGCATATTGCTTGCTTCGTATCCATACACAATTCCGTGACACATACACAATTTCATGACGCGAGCAAGGACGCATTTTTATCCGGCATTACACACGAAGAGGAGGATATATGTATAATAAAAACAGAGAACAAGAAGAGTCCGCATGGGCGAATTAGATACGCGTAAGGGGCGGGGGCGGTCGTCGGTCATCGGTCGGTGGGCGGGTCATCGGAGGCCGCATGGGGTACGAGCTAGTACACCCAGCGGCCGGGCGTGAGATGGGCTAGGCAGCGAGCGCACGGTGCGCTCAGTGCTTCGTCGCCTTGACGATCGAGACGACGATGATGACAATGATGACGGCGATGGCGGCGCCGATGATGAGGCGCATCTAGAGGGCGGGTGAGTCGGTGAGGTGTGGGGGAGCTAAAAGGCTCAATGGGAGGGCGCACCTTCATATCTTTCCACCTTTATTCACAATTCACATGAAAAGGGTACGTGAGACAAGGCTGCGCTGCTGGTGAGTAATGAGGAGGGTGCGTACCACATGTTCTGTGGGAGGAAGCGCAGTCAGTAGGTGGCCACAGAACAAGGCCGACAGACGCACCTTGCGGACCCGGTTGGCGCCCCGGCGGAAGCCCTGTGCGGACACCGCGAGGTTGTCTGTTCGCCGCTGGTCAGTTCCTCTGTCCCCTCGAGAAATGGTGGGAGTAAGCACCGGTCTTGTCTTGCAGCGAATCAAGGCGCTCGCCGCGCTCCGCTACTTTGGTGATGTTTTCGCGCATAATGCCGACGGTGTCGTCAATCTGTGCCTGGATGGCCGCCGTCTTGGCGGTGCCCTGGCTGCCTCCCGCCGGCGCGCCTCCCGCGGCGCCGTTGCGGGGAACGTAGGGGTCGTATGGCTCTGACCTGCATCCACATAAGCGTAAGTCTCCTCTATTTGACCCTAGAGCATGCTGCGAGGCTAGACGCACATTATGGGTGCGTAGGGGTCTGTGTTGTGGGTGGGTAGGTGAGCACAAGTAAGTCGAGTAGCGCAGGGGGCTGACCGTTTCAAACGATGTAGTCGGAGGTAGGGGAGGGCGTGGAGAGGGTCTGACGTCCGTCTGCTGTCTCTTCCCACGCTCGTGATGTGTTGCTGCGGTCACCTCAATGCAGTGCCTCCATCCCAAACTTAACTTGCACACACACACTGCTCAGCCTCACTCGATGTCAGTCTCGGAGAGTATCGCCGGCGTGTTTCGCTCGCTGGGGTTTGTCTGCGCTACTCCTCCTTTCGACGACTTCCCTGCTCTGAGGACTGGGAAGAACATCTGGAAATTCAATGATGGCACTTCCGCAACGAAAGTCATGGCAATCGTTGGATGGATGTATGCCATCCTATCTATAGTGCATTGGCTGTCGTCCAACTATACTTCGGCAGCTCCGCCCGGGATCCAGCAACTCTATCGTGCGGTAGATGTATCATCTTTAGCTGGACGGATCCAGCAGGATTGCTCGCACAGTACTCACACCTAGCGACACCCATCCTCACCTCAAGCCCCAAGTTACTCTGGTTCGATCTGTATTGCCTCCCTTCGGTATTTATAATGTATGCGCCTCCTTCGTTGTTTCTGGTCTCCTGCTGGCCGCTGGCGGCGGTTGCGCACTTTGGAATTTCGCTTTCTTTCTAGTTGAATCTTCTCGAGAAGAAAAAAAGGGCGAACGCCGGTGAAGATCTTTCTGTTCTTTGTACCCACATGATAATATCAGTCGACATTCACCTTGGATCGAACAAACTGTTATTTTGCGCCGCTTACAAGCACATGCTCACATCGAAGTTCGCGTGGACGGTTATGCTTTCTATCTATCGCTTCCGGCTGTCGCCGTTCTGGTTCGTCTCTGTTGCGATGCCGTGTTCTAAATTGCATATGCTGTCTTTTACAAATCATTTCCTCTCATCTGGTATCGGGACGTCCCTCCTTTCTCCTGTAGATACGTGCGTAGAATTTATCTACCGCCTTCAATCTGAAATCAATCCACCGTTATAATGTTGTTAGAAAGAAGAGATAAACTGGGGAGAAAAAAATGGATGCGGGGCATGGCCTGGCCACGAATTGAACGAGGTGCTTCCTCCCAATCTTATGATCAATATTGGGCACTTTATTAGGACGTGTTACTATTACACCACCAGGCCGACAATTCCTACATCCAATCATGGATATATAGTAGAGAGGGAGAGAAGAAGACTCAAAAGCAGTAAACTGGGCGGTTTTAATGGCTGGTTGAAATTCCAAAATTCAACTCTATATGCTACACTTGCAGAATGCATGACCATGCGACCACAAAAGATTCAGATCGAAAACCATACCGAATGGACTAGCCAACTTTAACGACGTCGGAAATAATAATAAAAAACATGGATTTGCTACAATTCATGGCCTAGCCTTGAATCGAACAGGGAGTTTCTTTTGAAAAATGAGATGCATCTCAGTTCACTTCGACAAGGCGTGTTACCACTACAATACCAGGCCGACATTACACTACCCTCGATGATGGGGTATGTGATTCAAATAGAGTCAACGAGCTTAGGAGTACCAGTTCAACGCACCTTGAACACAATCAATTGATTCATCTTGCCCGAATTCACTGCACCACTCCTGGTACAGTACCAAGAGCAGTCTGCGAAAAAAGATCAATTAAATAAAGCCTTTCGCCCTAGAAAAACAATCGGAGGAGTCAAAGTTCGAGCAAAGTTGAAAAGGAAATGGAAGGGAAGGGAAAAAAAGAGGGTACCTATTACGTCTACGGCCTGGCCCCGAATCGAACGAGGTTCTTCTTCCAAATTACACCCAAACTTTTCTATTTGAGGAAGACGTGTTACCATTACACCACCAGGCCGATGCTTTTAGTTTTGTTGGTAGGATATATGGCAGGCTGCGAGTGGTTGGTTGAAATTGCAACCCAAACGTAAAATCCAACCAGATATTAAGTTGAAAGGGCCTAGAGGCTCATGTAAGAATAGAATATCAGAAACAATAACCATGCCACTGACTGCTTTGACGGAGTAGCCAGGTCCCGACTCCGACGAGTCGTCGGTGCGCCTGTTTGTTTCGTGAGGTCCTGTTTGGCATTTGATCAGAGGTAGCCGGCGGTCCGGGCTTCTCCGAATCCTGTTCCTGATGTCAACATTCCCCGCAAACGGTTCAAACTTCAAAGCTGCAGGTACTACTAGCCTGACAGGTAAGGCATTGGGATACACGTCTTCTGAATCTAAACAGACTCCGACACTTCGCCGCGCGGATTCCAATCCCTTGTAAGTTGTATCCCAAGTCGACGGAATCCGACATTGTGGGTGCCACACTGCGCCGCAGCGACACTCGCGAACATCATGATGATTATCAGTGATAAATACCAGTGTGGATACGCCCCAGCAAGCTCCTGCCAACATTCCCCCCACCTCGCCAGCCACCGAATCAGTTCCGCACGGCATGAGCAAAAAACTCCTGGTTGCATGGGTTGCACTTGCTGCGCTCATAGCGCTCGTCGTCACTGTACAAAACCACCACCTGCATCAAAGCACGATCGAGTTCGAGGTCCAAGACGCTGCTGATCAATTCAGAGAATTTTCTTGGGCGGACGTGAGTTCTTGCAACCTTGCACCGCCCTGCTAATAATATTCACCACTCTACCTCACAAGGTTGTGCCCAGTGACGCGTTGGAATGGACGGACTGCTACACGGCGCTTCATTGCGCGCGCCTCAACGTCAGATAATTAATGAATGTTCCACATGCACTCACCACTCACCTCCCTCGCAGGTCCCTCTCAATTATTCGGAGCCGTACGGAGCAAAGGCCATTATTGCAATGACGCGCTACCCGGCGGCTGTCCCCGTCGACTCCCCTCAGTATCACGGGCCTATCCTGATGAACCCTGGAGGCCCGGGTGGTAGCGGAGTGGACATTGTCAATCTCTTAGGCGCTGCCCTCGCTCAGATCGTAGGCCCCGAGTTTGATATCATTGGCTTTGATCCCAGGGGTGAGTCTTCCACCTCCTCAACCGACAATACATAATTTGTTCAAGGAGTGGCCCGTTCGACCCCGCGCGCGTCCTTCTTCGAGACAGACGTGGAACGTATTCTGTTCAGACATGCAACCCTACGCGACTTGAACGCGAGTGCTGATGCACTGGGACGTTCCTGGGCCCAGGCTCAAGTACACACACGCTTGGCCGCCGAACGTGCGGGAGACTTCTTACCGCACATCAACACGGACAACACCGCTCGGGATATGCTGCACATCGTTGAGGCACACGGGAGGGAGAAGCTTCAATATTGGGGATTCTCGTGAGTGGTTTCCACGCATGTATGCCGATGTGTTTCATTTCTCTCTCTTTTAGCTATGGAAGTGTTCTTGGCGCCGTATTTGCGGCAATGTTCCCCGTGCGTTTTATACCTTCATCCTCATGTATGATATGAATATTGGCCCTCTCAGGACAAAGTCGAGCGCCTCATTATAGATGGTGTTGTGGATGCGGAGAACTATTTCGACAGTAAGCTTGTTCAGCTCAACTTCTTCTTACTTCGGGCCTCATCAAATCGTAGCACTGTGGTCGAATAACCTGCTGGATGCAGACAAAGCTCTACAGATCTTCTTTGACAGATGCGTTGCCGCAGGACCTAAGGGATGCGCTTTCTATGCCCCAACATCCGAAGCCATCTCTCAGAATCTTACCACGTTGTATGATTCTGTCCGTGTGCGCCCTGTGCCTGTGAAAACCGCATCAGGCTATGGGGTCATCGATTACAACTCCCTGCGCCTGATTGTCTTAAGCTCCCTGTATTGGCCGCTAACAATGTTTGGTCCGCTCGCGCAAATTCTTGCTGGCGTTGCACGCGGCGACGGGGCTCCATTGATGGATATCTTGAAGCCCTCACCATTCCAATGCTCGTGTGATCCTAGCGAACATCGATTCGACAGCATACAAGATTCCCAGACCGCCATCATCTGCAATGACGGCCGTCTGGTACCCTCTGGATTCGATGAGGCCGAGCAACATTACAACAACATGGTCAAGACTTCGAGTTTGGGGAGCATCTGGGCGAATGTCAGAATTTCGTGCACGTACGTTCGGTCTTAATTTCGAGGCCGTGCAAGCACTGACACTCTCTCAGAGGGTGGAACATCCCGAAGCAACACTTCCAAGGTGCCGCGCTAATTAAGCCATATACTGTGATTTCTTTGTTGGCTGAGCCTTTCTGACAGGACCGGTTTCCGGCAATACCAGTTTTCCATTGCTCATCATCGGTAATACGGCAGGTACGGGAGTCTCGCCTCTGGTTCGGGTACATTTATACATTCCTCCGCCAGATCCGGTAACACCACTGAGCAGGTTAGCCAATCTATTTGCCACCGGTGGCCGAGAATTACGACTGTTTCCAGCGCTGAGAAAATGGCGAAAGCCTTCCCTGGCTCCGTCGTGCTAACTCAGGATTGCCCCGGGGTAACATGGGATCCATTTATTTGTCGTTCTGAACCAACTAACAGCTACTCCAGCACACCTCCTTCGCAGCGCCGTCGGCATGCACCTGGCGACACATTCGCGAGTACTTCTACAGCGGTCTGTTTCCAGACCCAGACACTGTATGCTCTGTGCTTGGGTCATCATTTGCAGAGGAAGTCTTCGAAGAACGGGAGCAGACAGTACTATCAGTCACCGAACACCGCGTGTTCGATGCTTATAAGGCCGTGCATCGGGACAGCTGGTCAAAAGCTGTGAATCTCTGTTTTAAATAATACTGGTGTTGGACTTGCGCTGGACGGTGTTTTTGGATAAGTATGTGGACACGAATTTCGAAGAAATGGCATAAATGTCAAGCGAACTCAGGCTCCTGGAATGGCATTGATGCCATCTGCCTTGAAGGGTACACATACATGCAAATGCAACCTTGAATTCAACCATCAAGTTGAAAACAACACGGGAGCAACCAGAACGTTAACATGTGATCACCCGGTACTGATCTTGTCCTCTTCTCTTCGGAATTACCTTTTTCTTTATCTCGTTCTCTCGTGACAGTCGTTTCGATCCTCAAATAGCGTCCCAATCAGCCGATCCTTCCGAAGTGTCCACAGAGTGCGAAGCATCGGGAGTGGCGCGCTATTAGGAGCTGGAAAGAGTGCGTGAGCCTTACAAAACTTTTTAGGACGCCACGAAACGGAGAGCATCTGGCAAAGTATCCAACCAATCCCGTCTTTCTCAATGCTCAGTCTTCCGCTCTTTCCCCACCAGCTAATGTTGCTGACTCGATGCTGACTATCTGCGCGTGTACAGTGCTGACGTTGTAACAGCGAACAAAGCCATTTCGAACAAAACGAAGCATCTATTGCTCATCCTCTTCCGGGCGCTACGGCCAGAATTCTCAAGAATCTATTTTCTCTGCATCTGGGCTACAACTCTGCTTCTTCGGGTCTCCACTGCGAATACACATTGAGAATCTTTGAACCCTCAGTTTGTAACCATCGACACATCGGTTTTTACCGCCAATGCAATTCTCTGGACATCATAATCTGACTCGATGGCGTTAACCGTCTGTCCGGGAAACACCTCTCGCCGAAAATACTGTCATTCCAAGCAGATGTGCTACCGGATAGCACTACTCACAAAAATTCCCATGTGTGGGTACCTGTGGGTACCTATCGAACCTGAACTAGATTTAGGGGAAAACTTTCGTCAAGTCCGGTCCACTTCCTTTTCGCTGAGCCACGCTGCAGGCCTGGCTGTAAACTGTGAAGTTTGTATTTTTACCGTCGAGCAATGCCACCCCAGGTCCGGGATAGGAACTTGAAGCTTCCTGGCCCAACAATCGCGCGACACTGGTGCCGTACATCGTATTTACACAATACCGCACACCGTTCCGAAGCTTGACCAAAGGAACGCACGAGGTGCCTTCTTTGAGATAGCTTTATAAATGGAGCGGACGCGTGCTATAAAGCCCGTTACATTGGACACTGGTCTTCGGCTACTCATGCCATCGTCCGAAATACTTGTACTGGGGGTTGTGTTGTGCTGTATGATTGGCTTCCTGCTGCGCTTTGGGTGCCGCGAGCACGGCTTGCCTCCTGGTACGGTTTTTGTTGCTTTAATCAATTTATTGTGTTCATTCTGCATCTAGGCCCACCCACGCTGCCCCTTATAGGGAACGCCCACCTGCTAGGGAGCGGGAAGACCCTGCATCTGAGGTGCGATACTTCCTGGCCGTTTCATGGTCTCCCTGACTTTCAATGTAGACTCACCGAATGGGCACGTCATTACGGCGACATCTACTCGGTATGCAAGTTACCTCAGGCCGGCTGCTTCTTGTTTTCGATACACCTTTACAGATCAAGATCGGTTCTGGAACAATGGTTGTGCTCTCAAGTGCTGCAGCGATCAAGGAAGTTGTCGATAAGCATGGATGGGTTGGGAGCTCCCGACCCTCTAACTACGTCGCGGAGCTCTGCGGATCAGGCGGGGAATTCAACATCCTGTTCGCGACCGACTGTATGTCTTTACTTCTTCTTCCTATCAAGTAGGCTGATACTTGGGAGAAGGTCCACGCCTAAAAAACCTCCGCCGCCACCTCGTCCGTTTTTTTTCGCCGCAGAATGCGCTCAAGTATGTGCCCGCCCAAGCTGCAGAGAGCACGCTGCTCCTGAACGATTTGATGACGCGCCCCGAGGTACCCGAACATGATGTTCGCCTTAGTTCAGCATTGATTGAACCAACGCAGAATTTTTCGGATTCGATCCGAAGGTACACACATTCTCTTGCCAAGGTAATCTAATGAACTGAGACTGAAACCGCCATTTTCTCATTGGGTTCAGATAATGACGTACGGGCAACGAGCATCATATTTCCACGC